TGATGGTGGAAAACACCGAAACGTTTTTTAATTGATAAATAGACAATAAATGACTGAAGCCCAGGAATTGAAACACAGTCAGGAAAGTATGTACAATAAAGGTGAATAAACTCACCTGTGCGGAATATTATGATGCATTCTCCTCACAGAGCTCTGGCTCACCTGCCGCTTCTGAGTGGGTGAAGTGGCAATCTGATCCAAAACGGCTTTAGTGCGCGGCGTTAGAATTTCCGATTTGGACTTTTCCATTTTGAGGCCCGGCTTTCCATTGGTGCTGAGCTGCAAAGTGAACCGACCAGTCCTCAAGCTCTCAGCGTCAAGGTGGCGCTAAAACAAGGCTCACCTCACACATAGTGGCCGACTTCAGCTTAACGACTTGTTCCTTGAGCCTTTTGCTCGTTTCCTTCTCTTTGGTCAGCTGCGCCTCCAAGTCGCGATAGTTCAAAGCCCGGGAAATGGGCGGCTGATTTTCCTTCTTCGAACTGCCGAAAATCACCTCGGTTAGGGACTTTTTCTTGTGGGAAAGTTCCTCGATCTATCAGGAAACTTTAGTTAAAATCGGCTGCTTTCTTTCAACGGCTTTACCTTTGACTGCAAATAATCAATCAACTTCAGGTGTTGTCTATCGCGAGCCTCAGCCTTCACCTCTCTTTCCTTGTGGTAGTTCATCTGCTCTTCCAAGGTCACTTCCAGGTCCCGGATTCGCTGCGCAAGAGCTGCAAAAAGGGGGCTTTTCATTTAACTTAATCTCTTGAGGGACTTTGCACGCCTTTACCGGCAATGTTTTTATTCAAGTCCTCCGCCTGGTGAGTGAGGGTGTACTTGGACTCCTTTAAACTCCCGATTTCCGTGATGTGATGGGCGATTTCCTCCTTCAGTTGGTTGTTTTCGGTGGTAAGCTTGCGCACCTGCCGCTCGCAGGATGTGACCAGCACTTCGGTGTTGCTCAATTTGTCTTCGGCGCCCTGAAAGTGATTGATGCAGTTGTTTCTTGAGGGAGTGGTTTCGATTTGAAGCCCTCACCGATAGCTCTTCCGATAGAGTGGCGGAATAACTCTTGTACTCCATGCACTGGTTCTTGTAGTCGGCGCACTCCCTCTCCATGCACTCCAGGTCCTCCTGCAGGCTCTTAATGCGATGTTCCGCAACGGCACGAAGCGACTTCTCCTCGTTAATGTGCCTGCAATGGATGAGGGTTTTGATCGCTTGCGGGATTTTGCGAGAGCGGTTTACCTTTTAGCGGCTTGAGTGTCTTTGCGCGCCTCGCACAAGTCGGAGATGAGTTTCTCAGTGTTGCCGCTCAGCTCCGATTGCTTGGCCTTGCTTAGGGCCAACAGTTTCTCGTACTCGACCACTTGGCCTTCCAGTAAAGTGCAGGCTTCACGCAAGGCCTCCAAGTTCTGCATTTGGGAGTGATTGATTGGCGGTTGCACAGTCGCTCTTCACGTGCCACTTACCACTTTCATTGCGGTCTGTTCGGAGGCGCTTTTCTCCAGGAGTTCGCCCAGATGGGCCTTTTCCTTTTGCAGCTGTTCGACCAGGGAGATGAGCTTGGTTTTTTCCGATTCCTCCTTGTTGCAGCTGAAACACTCCAGTTCTCAAAGCGAGGCAATTTAAGCCTCCGTTGGCTTACCGCAGGTTTGCTGAGGAAAGTTCCGATTGGAGGGCCTCAATCTGGTTGGCCAGCTGGCGATTGGAATCCTCTTTGGTCTTCAGGAAGCCCTTGAGCTCGGCGATGATGGTTTTCTCCTCGTCGGTCTTGCTCTTTTCGTGCTGCAGCTTTTCCTACAAGCCCAACATAGAGGGTTTGACAAGGTGGGGGTGAGTTATATATATAAACCTTTACCTGGAGCATTTTCACATTGTCTTGCGAGCGCATCAGTTCCATGGAAATGTTCTCGTTGATCTCAGAGAGTTCAAGCAGCGCGAGCTCCTGGGCTTTCTTGCTTTGGAGCAGCTGGTTTTCTGAGCGGGTGAGTGTCTCACGCAGTTGTTTCAGCTCGGCCTGCGGACCGGTTAAAACGGATCAGAGATATGGTGATTTTCGAGCAAAAATGAAGAGGAATCCCCAATACTCACGCTTGCTTCCTTGAGCTCGCGCTCCAAAATTCGCTTATCAATTTTACAGTCGGAGAGCTCTTTTTGCATCTTATAGGTTTGCAACTGTTTCTCTCGCAGCTCCTGATTGGCCGCCTGTCCAGTATCGGCCCCGTCCGCGCTGAAAGTACAAGTCAATGAGCCAATCGCAGCCCGGTTGTTGAATACTTGCTTCTTCTTCAAGGTGCGGCATTCCTCGGTTTTCTGCTCCAGCTGCTTTTCCAGGTCGGCGACGCGCTTTTGCAGCTGCGCCATTTTCAGTTTGAGACTCACAGTTTCGGAGTTTAGTTGCTCAAAAGCGTCGCAGTCGCTCTGCAAGCGGCTCGTCTTGTTCTGGAGGTTTTTGAGGGTTTTTTGACTGTCGTCGAACTTCCCGCGAAGCGATTTGATCTCCATTTCGTACTCGTCCAGCTTGTCTGAATCCTGCCGGGAATCGGGGGTTGAATGGGGAAAATCGAGTGGATTTTGGAATGATACCTTTTCAAGCTCGTTCACTTTGCGGCTCAGTTGCTTTACCACAGCTTCATTGTCCTGCAGGGTGTTTTGCAGCTGCACATACTGCGATTTGCTGCGCTTCAGCTTCGCTTGCACGCTCTCCATCTCGAGCGTTTTCCTTTCCATCGCTTCCTGCTGTTGAAGGAGTTCGTTTTGTAGATGGGATGTGTGGGAGATTTCCTCGGTTAGTTTGCTAAAATACGCCGGTTTAGTGGGTTGAGGATGCGAGACGCTTAACTTACTTTTGCAGTTGGGAAATGAGGCTCTGTTTTTCCGCGTTGACCTTCCCCAGGAGGTTTTCCAGGCCCACAACGCTTCGCCTCGTGATGTTTTGCTCGGCCTCCGCAGATTGTCTGGTGTTTTCCTCGATTTTCCTGGCATGATGCAACTGTTCTTCCAGCATCTGATTGGTGTGGCTCAGCTGTTCGATTTTGGACTTGAGTTGGCGAATTTCCAGGTCCAGAGCTTCCACCTTGGATTTCTCGGCCAGCTCCCACTTGAGTTTCGCCCCTTTGATTAGATCCAGCGCTTTTTTCTCCAAACTCATCCGCTCCCTGCGCTCCAGCTCCAGTCGACGCTTTACCGCCTGCAAAAGCCTGATTTAAAAGCCTTTTGCGACTCTTCGCGCGTTGCTTACGGTTGACTCAGCCAGGCTTTCAGCGAGTTGCTGTTCCAGTGAGTCGCGCAGCGCCTCAACGCTGTGCAGTTTGATCGTTGTCTCGTCCAGGCGCTTCTCCACGTTGTCCTTTTCCTGGACGAGATCGCCGCTTTTGGCCAGCGTCATCTTCAGACTGGCCAGTTCGGCTTTGAGGCTGTCCACCAGTCCGGTTTCTTGGATCGAGCGCCTTTTCGAGGCTTGATCAAACGCCGCCGGCTCTTCGTGCGTGAAGCTGAAGCCTGGAGAACGGCGTCAGTCAATTTAGCGTTTATGGTGCGAGAAAATCAAACACTCAGCATGGGTAAACTGGGCAATTAAACAGCAAACAGCGCACAGTTTTAAGTAATAAGCACTGGGAATAATCGCACGAAACGCCACAGATTTGAGAGCCGTCGCAGGGCGATAAGTGGGAATGAATGTGGGAAAGCTGGCAAAAATCCGGGCAAAAACGTTGTTTATTTAGGCGGCGGAAGGTTCAGAACGTTTCACGCGTTGGCGTGCAGTCGAGCTGGGTTTGGGCCCACAATTTATCTACCGGGTCGCTTTGCTGCTCCAATTTTTACGGTGGTTTTCTTGTATCCAGTGGGACCATGAAACTAAACCGAGTCAAAAAAATAGTGAACTCACCAACAAACGGCAAATTTCTCCCGGAAAACTGCGACCTTTTCTTGAAATGCTCCATGCTGGGATGCTTCTTCTTGGCTTGCACGTCGACGAAATTACTGGTGTCCTCCATCGAGCTGATTTTCGGCACATAAGGGGGCACCTGGTCTTTGAGCGTGGCGAATTTGGTCCCTGTGAAGACCGGATGCGCCTGGATTTTGCTCGGTTTCAACCGCGATTTTGCATCAGTGATCAGCGCCTGAAATTCACCGAGCTCAGTCTGCATCCCTTAAAGCCCGTTTACACGCGCAAGCTATCTGAACGATTTGGCTTGCGCAAGCCAGAACTGTGCAGGTGAACTGAACGATTTGGCTTGCGCAAGCCAGATCTGTGCAGATGAACTGAACGATTTGGCTTGCGCAAGCCAGATCTGTGCAGATGAACTGAACG